GGAATTTTAAACGGCCAGCGAGCCAATTACTAGCCGCCACGTGTGAATAATTTAGCACTGGCCAATAGCGGGGTACAAATTTGCATCCGAATAGCGGGAACTCTTTGCACCGTGCATTTCTGTGCTGCAAAGGAGAAATGCATCCTGCAAAGGAAACTGCAAATTGGCGGGAACTCTCCTGCACGCAGGCTCTTAATTGCAGCAGAACACTCTGCCGTGCAAAGGAGCTCTCACGTGGCCAGGAAATTCCATAGTGCCGAGGCACCAAAAATCACTGGGTTGTGACACTCTGGGTGCAGGCTTCCACTGGCCTTGGCATGGGCCCCACACACCAGCGCAGGCCCCATGCTCTTGCCCCCCACCCTGGGTGCAGGGCCTCTGCCAGCCCTGGCCCCGGGCACTGGCTTGGGCTTGGGCCCCGTGCTCGTCCCCTCTTTTGCATCCACTTGTCTCCACCCACTCCCCTGGCTTCTCTGGCACCATGTGCCAGCCTGGGCCTGCGCTTCTGCTGTCCCGCCCTGGGCCCTCACGCCTGCTCGCCCACTCACTGCCACTTGCTCACCTTCCGCTCGCCACTGCTGCCACCACTTCTCCCTGCCCGCCTGCCTGCCGAAACCCCAATTCCACTGAGCGCTGTAGCAAAACTGGCTGAGCGCTCAGCGGAGTCGGGTATTAACTGAAACCACGTTAAGTGGGGGGTTGCCTATATTGAATCTACCCAGAGAGCTATTTGAGTTGGTCTAATAAAATATATTGGATTTACTTAAATAACCTTGTCTGTAAACTCAGCATGTGACTTTATCCAATCCGTTCTCTAGCTAATTTGTTTGCAACATGTAATCCCATGGAATTAGCTCAGTTGCACATGCTTATCTCAAAAGAAGAAGTATTCTAGAAATACAATACCAGGCATGCAAATCATTCTTACTGGCACTTGTCTAGTATTGCAAGATTTACACAGTACATGTGAGTCAATATAGAGGAAAAAACCTTTTCAAACCTCAAAATAGCTGTCTAAACATCATACGGAATTTAGCTACATACCTGACATAATTTACAGAGCATTATGGGAGTTTGAGCAACTATAATCACACTATAAAAGCCTTGCTGTTATAAGCACACAAGCTTAAATAGAAACCTAAATAACATCCTATTCCAGTACATTAAATCCCATTTAGGGGCAGGTAGGGATAGGCAGTTGTGGCCAGGTTCCTCCTTCGTTCTGTGCCATCCCAGGAGTGGGTGCGGAGAGGGAAACCCACTAATGGCTGCTGCTGTGCTTAACTGAACTCAGCTCCCCACAGGCTCCCCTCAAGCCTTGCTGGAGTGGGATAGGAGCAGCTAGGACAGTGGTAGCTGTGGGCAAGTCCAGAGACATAAGTAAAGAGGGCCCTGGAGTTTCTCCCACTCCTGGATCAGCTGGGGACAGTGGCAGTGGGGGGCAGAGGAGTGAGGAATGAGTGGGGAGGGGACGTGCTGCTGAGCATGGAGGGAAGGAGAGGTGGGCCAAGAGAGGGAGGAGATTCTTACATTATTCAGGCACTTAAGGCCTTGTTACATGTGAATTTTAGGTGGCTCCTGGGACTCTTCATCCCTTCATTGTCCACATATTAACACGTGAAACTAGTTTTAAGTGCCCTTTAGGTAGTTTAAAATGATGCTGCTCCCAGGCAGGTTTCACTCTGATCCATGTTACCCAGCTCACGTTCCATGGATGTGATTCCATTCCCCACAGATGAGCTGCCCAAGTTGCAGTCCTTCAGCATCCAAGGATACAGCGTCTCCTCCCCACCACTCCTGTTCTTCTAGACTTTCCTCCTCCTGAACTCTCCTGCCTGAAGCGGAGTAGGGTAGGAGTGGTGGATTATGGCCCCAAGCCAGCTCCCCCTCTCATGCCCTTTGTGGGGGCACCTTCCCACCCCCAGGGGTGCAACCCAATGCAACAGCCATCAGAGCACATGCCAGCTAGTCAGCTAGCAAGCAGAAACTTTTCCTCAACCTATATCCAGCCATCTTCTCAGCCAAAGGATATTCCCAACTATACCAGCACCTCCAAAATCCAGTCCCAAATCCCAGTTCATTAAACCATGAGACCTTCTTCAATTTACTTCCTTATTTGTTTCCTTTTGCTTTTTCTTTTTTTAAATTTCTTTTTATTTTATCCTTCAGTGGCTGAGTTCCTTCATTTCACCACCCTTCCCTCACCCCCATTTCCTTTCCCCCTCCCATTTCATTACTCACCCCCATCGTATTAATCCTGTGCCTGCCAGCTTCATGTTCCCATCCCCCTTTAACCCATCTCTCCCCACCCACACCTAGACCAGAGATAGAAGCCTGTCGTTGCTCACCCACCCTCTAGTGCAGGGATAGGCAACCCCCAGCATGGGTGCCAGAGTGTGGCACGCAAAGGCATTTTGCTTGGCACACGCACTTTGGGCCAGACAGCAGGGAAGGGCTCTGCCATAACAAGGATTGGGCCACTTATTGCTCCCCCACTGTCCGTCTCTGGCACAGCAGAGACCAGAGATAGAAGCCTGTCGTTGCTCACCCACCCTCTAGTGCAGGGATAGGCAACCCCCAGCATGGGTGCCAGAGTGTGGCACGCAAAGGCATTTTGCTTGGCACACGCACTTTGGGCCAGACAGCAGGGAAGGGCTCTGCCATAACAAGGATTGGGCCACTTATTGCTCCCCCACTGTCCGTCTCTGGCACAGCAGCATCTTACAAGGATTGGGCCACTTATTGCTCCCCCACTGTCTGTCTCTGGCACAGCAGCATCTTACAAGTTGAGGTTGTGGGTGCTTTTGGCACTCTGCCCAAAAACGTCGCTGACCCCTGCTCTAGTGGGAACTCACAGCTATAAGTGTAATGTGTAACAAGGCCCTACGGCATCCTGGGGAGGTGGGAGAGGCTGGGAGCAGGGGTGCAGCCATCCTTGCAGTCCTGCTCACTGCTTCCACACCCCACTTTACAAAATCCAGGATCTGCCCATGCCAGAATGTAAGCAGTAATGAGAACCAAAGAACTTACTGAATGCAGCAAGACATGTTTCCATTAAGAAAGTGAAGAGCAAAGACCATTTCAGCTGAAATATGGAAGCAGTGGGAAATCAGGTTATGTGATTTCCTAATCAGAGTTCATTCTGAGATCTAGTGAACTGAAAATGTGAACTAGGTGGAGATAGAGGATAAGCCTTATAAAACAAAGCAGAGCAGCTCAAAACAAAACAAAAGAACAAAATACCTGGAAGGTCCCAAAACTGCTCAGATGCTTCTTTCAAGGACCCAGTAGGGCCAATCACATGCCATAACTGCAGATGAACTATTAATGGCAAAATGATTTGTTATACCAATCCCAGAATAAATGTCTTTTACTTTGAATACCAGTGTCGCTTTTAGAAATGTGCGGTCAAACATAAATCCAGACCCATCAGCTTCTGCTGTCCAGATCAAGTCACAATGGGCGTGAAGATTCGCCCATTCTGCCAGAGCCTCAGAGTCACCTCTTCACTGCCTGCTCTGATCGTTTTCCTCATCACTTTTTATGTTCATCAGCTGGAATCAGGTAAGAGTCCCCAGCCATTTCTACTCCTTCTTACAGAAAGTATGTGCTTTGATTTGTAAAAAGTGCCAATTACACTCCTTTATTCAAAGCTGAACAAAAACTACTGCATATTTCCAATAAGCAGTAATCCTGAAGGAATGAACCAATGATACTTCCCCCCCCACCACTTCAGCGGGAATAACTACCTATCCATCACACCCTATCTATTCATGTCATGGTCATTATTCCCTAGTAGGCTATTGGGGAACTCAGAATTTACAACCACTTTGGTTATTTCTTCCTCAAAAATATAGACAATATGGACTGGAGATTAAAAAAGAAACAGTCAGACCAGACAGAGAAGGGAGTGCTAGCATGTGGATCTCACCACTGAAGGTGCTCTGTCATCCTCCACCTCCCTTTATAAGCTTGGGAAGGGTTGAATAAGAAGGATATGTTAATTCAGAACACCCCACTGATTTCACAGAGCTCAAAGGTAAGGATCAGCAATCTTGACAAGCAGCACAGATAAGGATTTTATTTTAATCTTTTATCAGAATGCCCTTATATTGGTTAGGCCAGTGTAGTTATTAAATAGTTGTGCTGGAAAAGGAATGTGCATGATCTTGTCATTGTTACTGCTTTTGATCAGGGCAGCTAGCCAAAATGTGAGGTCTTGTAAATTATTCCAGTTAGGAGGATATACTGGTGATGGAAGAGGAGATACTGATGATGGAATCAGGGATCTCTGATAAGATTCCTTTCATTTACAAGCATATATGAAGTTCTGCTTTCTGGAACACAGAATGACCAAACCAGAGACCATTTCCCCCCTCAGTCATTATCACTGCTTTCCACTAGACAACTGACCCCAAATTTCTCCTTGTGGCCTTGTCCTGGGGCCACCCAACAGTCTGGGTCAGGGCTTGTCAAGGTTTCTTCCCAGGCTTTTTCTGTGACTCTGCAGCTATATCTGAGCCTCTGACTTCCACACACACCGTCCTGCCCATGGCCAAAGTCATTTTGACCTGTTCTATCATATCCCCAGGCAGACTCACAAATCTCTTTGTTTTGGGTATAAACGTACTCAACTACCTCCTACCTTTGTGATGTCACAGCTGGTAAAGCAATCCAGACTCTGGCTTGCATACATAGATGCTTCTCAAGTAAATCTCCAGATGTCATTCTCCTGCTGCACTCGGCCTTGGTGAGGCCGCAGCTGGAGTACTGCATCCAGTTCTGGGCTCCACAATTCAAGAAGGATGTGGAAAAGTTTGAGAGAGTCCAGAGGAGAGCCACGTGCCTGATCAGAGGACAAGAGAATAGGCCTTATGAAGAGAGGCTGAGAGCCATGGGACTCTTCAGCCTGGAAAAGCACAGGCTCTGGGGGGACCTGGTGGCAGCCTACAAGTACATTGGGTTGTGCATCAGGATCTGGGGGAACGCCTGTTCACCAGAGCACCCCAGGAGATGACAAGGTCCAATGTTCACAAACTCCTCCAAGACCACTTCAGGCTGGACATAAGGAAAAACTTCTTTACTGTCTGAGCCCCCAAGGTCTGGAATAGACTCCCTCCAGGGGTGGTGCAAGCACCTACTCTGGACTCCTTTAAGAAGCGTTTGGACACTTATCGTGCTGGGATCCTTTGACCCTAGCTGACTTCCTGCTCCTGGTGCAGGGGGCTGGACTCGATGTTCTTCCCAGGTCCCTTCCAGCCCTAATGTCTATGAAATCTACAGCCATTTTAAAAGAAGGCTGGAGAACATATTTACCAGTGTCAAAAAAGTTGAGCTCAACTTATGAGAGAGGCCTGTCAATAAAAAAAAAGCTAGCAAAACCTGCCTTTGCTTCTCTTACTGTACTCTATGCTAATGACCATTCAGATGCCTTCTCCCCCGTCAGTATTAGTAATGCAAGTTAATAATGCAAGTTTGTATACAAATATAAGGCTCACTTTAAGTATGTACAGGCCCTGGGAATGGCTATGCCAAACACACCAAGAACAGAATGGAAACAGTTGAGTGTCTTATTTTTTCTATGTATATTAAATTACCCTCCATATTTACTTTCTTGTGTTCTACAGCACAGTTCACAGTGATTGGATCTGCCAACCCCATCACTGCCATGGTGGGAGAGGACGTTATTTTACCCTGTTACCTGTCCCCCAAAATGAGTGCTGAGAACATGAAGGTGACATGGTTACGGCCACAGTTCTCATCAGTTGTGCATCGGTACTGGGAGGGAAAGGATCAGCTTGGACTGCAAAAGCAAGGATATGAAGGAAGGACAGAGCTTTTGAAAGACAACATACAGGATGGAAATGTTACCTTGAGGATTCTCAATATCAGGCCCTTTGACCAAGGACAATATAACTGTCTTGTTGATGATGGTACTGTTTCTGAACAAGCTGTATTGGAGTTAAAGGTAAAAGGTCAGTTGCTTGTCTCACTACTTTTTTCTGATTTTTTTTTTTTGTGTCTGTCTATCATTTGCATATGATTCCCTAGAGATTCCTTTTATTCATATATTTCTTGCAATTTATGCAGGTACATTCGCAAAGAAAACCATCAGCCAAAATATTCACCTATATGATTCATCTAATTCTTTAAATATACCAGAATATAAGAGAAAGCTATAATTTTCCATTAATCAGTACATTAGCAGCAATCAGCAATAATCCAGCAACATATAGAAGTTGTCTTTCCAGAGCCTACCCATTCCCTCATTGGTAGGGAATGCAAATGGGCTGTGTTTTATGCCTGGCAAATTTCTAAGTGAGGAAGCTTCCTGGGGATGCATTGTCTGCTTCCCCTTCCTTAGATGAGTAGAAATTCAGCTCAAAGACCTTTACTGCCTAAAACTGCATCAGAGTAGCTGGAATAGAAATGCTGTGCATTTATGTATCCAGTATATTTAGCAAAATTACTCACCTAAACTAAATGATTAGCATGATTTTAAACAGTATTTATCTTGAGAGCTGTACAGATTTTTAAAAATCTTCAAACAGGGGAAATTAGTATGATTTTTTAAAAATGTCTTACAACTGCACCCAAATCATTTAGATGCTGTGAAGATTTTTTTTAAATTTACATTGGAAAAATGTCTGTTTTAACTTATACTTGGTAGCATGTAATAACTAACACCTCCTAAAAATTGCACAACACTTGTGAAGGACCCACTTTTATTCTTGATGAAGCCAGGGCCTCAGATCAGTTTGAATTTAACTTATGTTCATTTGTTTTGTCTAAGTACTGTGATATCAAGCTCCTGAATAATTCTTGATTTCACAGTGTGCCTACACTTAGGTACATAGGCGATGTTTGGCCGCCGCCAAAGCCGCCACTGGCTTCTGCGATGCTTGCCACCCGCTCTCCCCTCGCTGCTGACGCAGTGTCTGCAGGTGGTCCCCACTCGCCACCCCTCCTGCAGCGGCAGCAGGCAGTCCCTGCTTGCCACTCACCACTGCCGACACCAACGCTGGCGGCTGCAGTCAGTCCTGTTTGACGTTGGCACCTGTGGGCAGTACCCGCTTGCCGCCATGGTGCCCCCTGAATCTTGGGAGGCACCAGTTGTTCATGCTCAGATACCTACCACTTCCATTCTTAGGAAAAGGGCCTCAAATCCCCTGAGTTTATTGAAGACATGTTCAAAATGGCTAAGGGACTTCCTTGTTCTAAAATGTTCTTGATTAACAACAAAGGAGGCACCTACATGAGGTATGCACAGGTTTCAGGGCAGGTAGCCATTTCCAGTTGCTCTGCAGCCATTATCAGAGGTTGTGGCTCAGATGGAGCTGCCAGCGCCGTGAGTCTTGCTGAACAGGCCACAGGGTTTCTTAGGGAGAATAGTCAAACTCAAGTGCAGCCTTCTCTGGCTGAACGTCCTTGCTGAAAAACAGGTGTGCAATTATCACTGCTACATAAGGCTGGGTACTTGCCCATCCCTCCTCTGATATTGTACTCATGGAGCCAGAGAAGTTGATTTATTCTGAGTTTTGAAAATGTGTCAAACCAAAGCATTATGGAACTGGTTTTCAAAAGGGTTCAGGATCAGTCAGGAACTTCTGGAATAAGATTCCAGTGGAAAAATCACCCAAGTGCCTTAAAAATACATAGTTATTGAATATAACTACTGGGTCAATGACTACATGTGCCTCTTTTACTGACAATTGAAATGCTTAGGGGCTATTTGCATCAGCAGGTGCACCTGTATAGGAATAAGGACTTCCTTACTTCATGGTCAGTTTGTATCTGTATCTTTAATATTTGTTAACATTAAAACATAAAGTAATTCATACTTATTTGGTTTTCCTTTAGCTTTAGGCTCTGATCCCCTCATCTCTGTTGAGGATTACAAAGATGGAGGGATCCAAGTGGTGTGTCGGTCAGCTGGGTGGTTCCCAGAGCCACAGATGTCGTGGAGAAATCTTGCTGGACAGCTTTTGCCATCAGCTTCAGAAATAAAATCCCAGGGAGATGATGGTCTTTACAAAACAGAAAATTATTTTGTTATACGAGAAAATTCAAACCAGAGCTTGTCCTGTTCTATCATCGGTGCCCATCAAGACCCGGAAAAGAAATCCACTATTCATATATCAGGTCAGTTATATATTAAAGTCACACCTTTTAAATAACCAGGAGGCAACCACGAACAATGCACTCCCCTTAAATGGAGAAGATAAATGCAAAATAATGCCCTGTGGTGAAATGGAATCACCCTACAAGCATACCTTTCAGAAATAAAATGGAGGAGAAGGGCTGCCTTATGTTTTTACTTAGTGGTTAAGGCATTTGACTAGGGAGCTGGAGACAAAAAAAGTTCTAGGCTCTCCTTACCCAAGAGCATCTGAGGCCTGTATTTCTTGCTTCCTAGACAAGTGCTCTAGCCATCTGGCTACAGGATAGGCACTGTTAGGACTCCTTTCCAGCCCTTCTTTAGAAGTCATCACCCTGGTTAATGAGGGATGCGTCTACATGAGACACTACTGCACAGTGGTTACTATGCATTCATTTAGTATTTGTATAAGCAAATACTAAATAAATGCACAGTAACTGGAGTTACTGCACCGTAGCACTGGTGAATGCATTTTAAGTGACCTAGTGCAGTAGTCTAATAATACTGCGTAGTAACATATTAGCGCTGTCCAGGATATGACACTCTACTGCACAGTATTATTTGGCTACTGCACAGTCAGCATCTCATGTTGGTGCACCCAAGGAGTGGCATATATTAGGCTTGTGCGAGTCGGCAGTGATCCAATCCGGCTTCGGATCCAGCTGCTTCAGATGCCAGGGATCCGATCCAGAGCTCCGGACTGGGTTTCTGCCTTGATCCAGCCAAAGCAGCTCCAAAGCTTCGGTGCAGCCTCGGAGATCTGGCCATAGGGTATATGGGGGAATCAATGAAATATCTATAACTTTGTTGTTTTTTGTCCAATTTGGATGAAACTTGCAGAAAGGGTAGCCCTTGCTAAGAACATGAAACCTGCAAAGTTTCAAGAAGATTGGTGCAGGGGTTTGGGGGGAACTGTACCCCAAATTCTTGAAAGCAAAACTTGTGTCCTGTCTATGTGTTACACCACAGGGGGGTCAAAACTGCGGGGATGGTAGCTCTTACTGAGGCCACAAAGCCTGCCAAGTGTCAAGGAGATCAGTGCAGTGGTTTGGGGGGAACTGCACCTCAAGCTACAGACAAGCAAAACTTGTGCCATGGGTGACACTGTGTGTGTTAAGGCGCAGGGGGGTGACAGCGGAAGGAATGTTAGCCCCTGCTGAGGCCATGACTCCTGCCAGCTGTCGAGGAGATCAGTGCAGTGGGGGGTTTTTGAACCCGAAAGCTTGCTTAATAACTATTCTCCAACCATTTGGGTTGGTCTAATAAAAGATATCAAATTCACCCAAGGAACCTTGTCATGATTGATTGGTAACTGGTAACACAGTAGCTTAGCAGCCAGACCTGCACTGTAGTGTCTCCCACGCCCCAAGGCAGAGACAGTCAGTCCCACAAGCACCCATGACACGAGTGTTGCCTGTCAGCAGGTAGGGGTGCAGGGGTTTTGAAACATACAGATGACATATAATACATGTTTCTCAGAAGAAAAATAATAGCATCAAGCTGGAGTTTAGTTTAAAAGTGCTTACCAGCAATGAAAGTAAGAATGTGGTGCAGGGGTTTTGAAACATACAGATGACATATAATACATGTTTCTCAGAAGAAAAATAATAGCATCAAGCTGGAGTTTAGTTTAAAAGTGCTTACCAGCAATGAAAGCAAGAATACTTATTTGTTCCCAAAGAAAATATTGCATATTTAAGAAATATGGACTTCTGATGAAATATAAAGAAATCAAAGTATAGTAACCTATGGAAAGCTGTAGGTAAAGCTCCCTTAAATATTTAGATCTTTCTTCTAAGAATTCCCCAGGGAAGGGCAATTAAGGAAAACCTAAACAATTAATGTAATCTAGCTACACAAACCAGTTTCTGTCTGCACAAGGCAGAAAAAAAGTAAAATCTTTATTTTGTATAGAGTAGACAGCACTATATTTTAATCAATATTTCACAGAAATTGTGCTGGCAGTGTGTTGGGGAGGGTATATTTATCTATAATGAAAACATTTTAGTTTGTGTTGGTTTCCAAACTAATGCAATCCCAGACTCTTCATTTTTGTTGTTGTTTCTTGTGTTTCTCAGGTCCCTTTTTCCCAAAGGTGTCTCCTTGGATGACCGCATTTTGTGTGATCTTGGTGGCTCTGTTCATTTTTATCGGCCTTGCCATTTACCTCTTTAAAGTTAAAGGTAAACATTAAAGAAGGAAATATAATCTCATTCCAAAGAGAATTTCTTCTTAGACAAAGAAAGAAAGAGAGGTAGCAAGGATCAGAAAGGCCTGGACCGTGCCAGTGAGATAGATATACCTCATAAATTTGTCTCTTCCCTTCATAGGCACCAGAAGGCTGGGGCTAATGGGGCTTAGCCCCCACAAACACTGGGCAGCAGTAACAGTGCAGAGGGCTGCAGGGCAGCCCGGGCGTGGGCTCTGGATGGCTGCAGTGGGGTGGCGGGGAGGGACGTGCACGGACACAGAGCTGCAGCCTGCGGCAGCCTGGTGCCATGTAGAGTACTGCCCACCACAGCGGGTAAGTCTGTTATGGGGAAGAGGTATGGGGGGTAGATTGGGGCCCCCATGGTGAGGAAGGGAGTGAGGCAGGGGCAGGGGCCCCGGGGCTGGGGCAGGTCGTGGGATGGTCAGGCAGCTTGTCCAGGGGCGTAGGGGGGCTCCTGGCACTGTGTGCACCCCAGCAGAAGCCTAGGGAGCATGTTTCCCCCAGATCTGTGCACAGGGCAGGGGCAGGCTGCTGCTGGGGGCTGCACTCTCTCCGTGCCCCACCGCTGCTGCTTTGGAAGCAGCAAATGCCATGTGCCTGCCATATGCTTACTGCACCACGTCCCCTGCCTGCCCAGTGGTGGCAGGCACATGGCATCGTGCGGCTTCCAGAGTAGCAACAGCAGAGCGCAGAGCCCAGCCCACAGTGGCAACCTGCCTGTGCCCTGCAAACAGATCTGGGGAGGCACATGCCCCCTGAGTCTCCGCTGGGGGGTGTGCAGTGGCAGGGGGCCCCCCGCGCGC